TGCCGACGTACAGAGAGAGAGAGAGGTGTGTGTGTGTGTGTGTGTGTGTGTGTGTGTGTGTGTGTGTGTGTACGTACACGTACTGGATTATGAGAGCTATGCTAAGCCTTTTATGGCTCCCCATGCTAGCACATGATGTTTTGTAAGAGGGTCTCTCTCTGAACTTGCACGGAAAACAAAAACAACAGGGAAAGGGAGGCAGAAGGAAGGACTAAAATGGGAAAGATGAAAAGCAGGAGATGTTTCCAATAAGACACAGAGGGGCAAAAGGTAACCCTGGAGAGACAAATGTAACTCCCTTGACTTGTGGAGAGTTTCGCCTGCTTGAGCCAGGACTGAATTTAGCTCAAGGTCTCAGCAAGCATCTCATTAGGCAGCTGCTCAGCCCGCACCCTAGATCCTTTAGGGGCAGGGGAGAGAGATGCAAATGATCCCTTGTGCCTGTTTGGCTAGAGTCAGAGCCCTGGAGGACGAGCAAGATTTAATAGATGGCTGGATTCACTTGAAACCACCTTCACCAAAGGAGGACATTCCACGAGAGAAGTAGAGCACATCATGGAACGGGCCACCCTAATCCCGCAAAAGAGCCTGCTTCAATACAGAAAAGAAAAAAACCCACTGACCGCACACCCTTAGCTGTCACCTACCACCCCACATTAGAACCCATACAGGGTATCATCGAACAGTTACAACCCATACTCCATGGGGACCACATCCTGAAAGAAGTCTTTCCCAAACCCTCTCTTTTGGAACTTCAAACAATCCTGTAGCATCGCTAAGCTCATCTTCAGAAGCTAGCACCCCACCAACTCAAAGCAGCACCAGGCCGTCATAACAGATGCAAAACCTGCAGCTATATCTCCACTGCTGTGATGGTCAATACTCCCCCCACCACCACCCCCAACATACCTTCAAAGACCCAAGGGTCCTACACATGCCCATCGCAACATGTGGTATACCTTGTCCAGTGCATCAAACGCCCCAACAAGAACGTGGGTGAAACTAGACAATCACTAGACTCTCAAATGAACTCACACAGAAAAATGATAAAAGACAAAAACACCCTATTTGCTGCTGATCACTTTTCATAAAAAGAACACTCTACAGCTGACCTCTCAGTCTTCATCCTCAAAGGAAACCTGCACACACCTTCAGAAGAGGAGCCTGGGATCTTAAATTTCATAACTCTGCTAGACACCAAAAATCAGGGACTCAATAGAGACACTGGTTTTATATCTCATTACAACACTCTGTAACCCACTAACTTGCCTTTGTCCTGTGACTGCAGAGGTGTTAATTGCCCACTTCATCTTGAACAATTTCTTGCAACATGCATTAACTCCTTATGCTTAACCATCTGTTCCATCTTGTATTCAGCTGTGACACCCTGATTAACTTTCCCAGCCCTGAAGAAGAGCTCTGTGGAGCTCAAAAGCTTGTCTCTTCCACCAACAGAAGTTGGATCAATAAAAGATGTTCCTCAAATCAACCTTGTATCTCAAAGTATATCCCAGCAACTACTTCCCAAAGTTATATTTGCATAATGGCCTAGAGCAGTTTTTTCCTGGAGCCAACATCAACATCTACTGAGGAGCTCCCTAAACTATGACAATCTCATAATTAATTCTCTTTACCACTTATTTTTGCTGACTCTCTCCACATTGAATTTCTCACATTCACATATGCCTGAGAAAATGGTTGATGATCCCACTGGATACCACTTCCTAAATCTATGAGCTCCTTGAGACACGGGATGCGTCCTAAAACAGCACATGCACATCTGTGTATAGTCACCCAGGCTTGGATAGTTAGTAGGGTTTGAACCAGCACGCTTCAGATCTAAAAGCATGAGCAGCCATCACTTGACCTAAAGATCTCAGCCCTGTAATGTCCCCTGGTAGTATTATCTGATCTGTAGTAGCCTCTTTAAGCTGTTATGTACACCAGACACTACAGGGAGACAGACTCAGTTTCTTTTCAGTATGGGTTGCATGTGTGCTTAGCTCAGACAAGGAGTCCCCCTTGGGGGAACTGAGGCACTGAGAGAGTTAAGGGCCAGATGTTTAAAGGTATTTAGATGCCTACAGATGCAGATAGGCACCTAGTTGGATTTTCCAAAGGGCCTAAGCGCCTAACTTCCAGCCTCCTAAGTTCCCATTTGCATCTTTAGGTGCCTAAAAACACCTCTACCCCAATATAACACTGTCCTTGGGAGCCAAAAAATCTTACCGCATTATAGGTGAAACCGCGTTATATCGAGCTTGCTTTGATCCGCCAGAGTGTGCAGCCCCGCCTCCCTGGAGCACTGCTTTACCGCATCATATCCAAATTCGTGTTATATCGGGTCGCGTTATATTGGGGTAGAGGTGTACATTAAAAAATCTGGCCCCCGATGCCTTGCCCATCATCACACAAGGAGTGCGTGGCAGAGCTGGAAACGAAACTTCGAAATCCTATTCTAGGATCCTAACCCAGGACCATCCTTCCTCTCTGACCTGATTACTATGTGAAACCAAGCGCTAGATCATCCAAAACTGGGCCCAGGCTAATTCTAACACGTTTACAGAAAGCTAGCAAACCTTTCGGAGAGTCTGAGCTTAACTTTCAGTGTTGTCAGGAACCAAGCAAGGTTAATTATTACAGATGTTTCATGCAGTTCTACATAGGAACTCTATTTTTAAAGCAAACCAGGCCATAAAAAATGAAGAAATCAACAGCAAGATGACTAAAATGACTCCACATGGAAGCAAATTCCCATCCCCTACCAGCTATTTTCATCTCCGATTAGCTTTCCAGTGGGAGGATTTAATTTGCATTTAAATAGAAACCTTAGGAACATGGCCAATCTAATGTTAAAATGCTAATTACAAATGCATTTGCCTCTTTAAAAATTAAAAAGAATGTCAACGTGCATTTTAATGGGGGCTTATTAGAGGTTTGGTTTTATTAGACACTTAGTATTTATAAGTTATTATTATTTAACAGACTGTTTACCGCTCAATCCAGACAGCTGAAAACCTAGACACCAAGGAATTTGCAAGATTTGAGCTGACTGCTATGGAGGTGGGAACATCATCATGAAAAGTCTTCTCAGGCCATGAAATACCTAGTTGAGTAGAATATAAATTATAAGGTAGGGGAGAGGAACTGTGGAAAGGGAATCTGATGTGCCCCAAAATTAAACAATAAGTGGATAAATAAGTGAAAAGAGGCAAGTGAGCTCCAGCCATCCATCAAGGCACCTAAGCACTTGTGTAATGTAAGCATGCGAGTAGTCCCAATGGAACTAGTCTCACACACAGTCACACACCTCTTTTTGTGGGTCAGGGTTTAGGAGGTTTGCCACTGTTTTCCAAGCAGGATCCGGACCTGTAAGGAGAGATGGTTGGAAAAAAGTTCACGGAAACTCCCCCCTCCCCCCCCACAAAAAATGGCTTTTTGATTAAATTGAAGATTTTTCACCAAGACTTCCATTTTCATAAAAAAAAAGTTGTGTTTGTGTCAAAAAAAAGTAAAACACCCAGTACTTAGATGGGAAGCTCTCTGGGCAGTGGCCATTGTTTTGTTCTGTCTGTACAGCGCCTAACACCATGGGATCCTGGCCCATGACTGGGAATCCAAGGCACCAATGCAATACAACTAAAATAATAGTGATATTGAAAAATGAAAACATTTCAGTAACCAAAAATGATCCCCCCCATTTTTTGACAACTGAATACCAAACAGTTGTGGGTTTAATTTTTTGTAACGACTCCCCCACCTCCAAAAAAAGAAAATCAGTGAACAAAACATTAATGAAAATTGTTCATCTCTTTCCAAATCTTTCATAGAAAAGTAATTTTTCTAACTGCTATGCTTGTAAATGCATGGGAGGTGCTAGCAAATGGACCAAGATCTGGCACTATGCAAAGCTCAGGTATAGAGGAAATGGCTGGATATAATCTTTTCTTTTTTAGTAATTATGATGATGCCTTTTATTATTATTTCTCAAGAGGCTCCACTGGTACTTGGCATCTCAGCTATTTTGTGAATGGGCAGGGCTATTCTTACCATGCACGCTGCATAGTTTACATCACAGGGTAAGTTACTGTGTATTATACAGTTCAGCTCTGTAACGCACCTTATGTAAATAAGGGTCTCAGTAGAAATCAAAATGGAACAAACATTACACCCTGTGACATAGTGAGGGCCAATGCAATTGGGGATGGGAAGTACTAAAAACTGGATATTTCTCTATTTATTGTTGCATTTTGCATCCTTTCACCGCAACAGCCTGGAGCATAGTCACCAGCATTACAATAGCAACTGCCACAAGCTCCAGTCCTGAATTCAGAGCCACTTCTGCACTCTTAACTCATTGTGGATTTGGATAGGCACTAAGGTCCAATGGCAGGATCGGGGCCCACAGTTTGCACCTGCCTGTGCAATACAATCCCAGTGATTCGGAGACTGAGCATGACTTCACAGCTGTCAGCTTCCCCACACGCAGGTTGTGGGGCACCTGGACTTCAAGGTCAACAGCAGGAATAGAAAACCCAAGGACCTAGTGCTCCAAGCCACCTGAACTAAAAAATCATCTCTATTAGCTGTAGGAGTATTAGATTGTATAGCCTCTCTGTTGGCTGCAACCACTAGAGGAGGACAATGATAACATATGCTTCAGAAGGTCGGAAGGCCTATTCAATAGAAGGCAATGGTTAGACCCCTCTCCCCCACCAATTATTTCATCCTACATGTAAGTGTTGTCCTCAGAGGAGGACCTGAACCAACCCCCCAGATCTGAACATGCCCAAACTTTGAGGAGGGACCTGAGGGGGGTCAGAATCTGAATCTAAATTTCACTACTGACCCGTGTTTCTACTAGGATACTCTGAAACCTTGGATTCAAACTCCTTGAGTGTTCCAATTTGGTGGCTTAGGCTCACACTTCTAATGATCATCA